GAGAGCTATTTTCCTAACAATCTTAGTGTCTTTCTGCTTACAGTGTCTTGACATTTACTCTGAGGTCAAAAGCATGGGGAAAATGCTAGCCTCTGTGCATGACTCAAATGACTGTATTTTAGACTACTAAATGTCTCATTAAAAAAGAAAAGCCAGTCTTATTTGAAGAGCTGATAACTATACATTTGTGCCTTTGTGTTCTTACATACACTTTCTTGTTTTTTTGAGACAGGGTCTTTCTACGTAGCCCTTGGAACACACAGATATCCTCCTGCCTCTTCCTCCAGAGTGCCAGGATTAAAGGCATGGACCACCATGCTCAACTGTATACAGGTTTTTAGCGTCAGCTAAACATGAGAGTGTGACAGTTGCCATGAGAACATTTGTGCGGCTGTCTGCAAGAGTCCAAGGTGATGTTTCTTTTCCCCTCATAGAATTATTTTTATTGGAAGAGCAGCTGGCAAGGCAAGGTTACCAGATTTGACATTTGTCAGACATTTTCTCAAAAATGATAAAAGTAGGCCTATCACTTCAAAGCAAACAATAGGTGGTATTTGTTAAGTAAAAATAATAAGAAAAGAGGCAGTTCCACCGGTGCAAGAAATCCAATAGGTCAAATCAAACCGAATCAAAATACCCATCATTTTATTCAGGTGGCCAAGCACATGGCAGTGAGACAGGAAAGCAGGGAGCCCATGCAGATCCGGAAACCATGTGTTTCTCCTCTGGGAGCCCACTTAAATACCCTGTGGGAGTGCTGGGATTTGGAGTCCAGACCAATACAACTCCCAGGCCAAGGAGCTGGGATGGATGCTAGGGGCTGGGGCTATGCTCCCAACTTAACATTCCAAACTCTTTGGATATAGGGGTGACAGGAGATTGAAGTGATAATTATGATTAACATTTTAGGCTCTCTTTGGAAAAAGGGCATAGACTCAAGTCTGGCTACTTCCTCCGGGCACAGAGCAACGTGGGGAGGGGAGAGCTGGCTGTTGGTAGGTCCACCTTTAGTGGGAGGTGTGGCTGAAGAGGCATCTTGTCTGCTGTCATTCCGGAGACATCGGGCATTTGTTTCTTGAGGGAGGTAAGAAGGCAGGTGTCTAGAAGGAAAAAATATTGTTATTACTAGATTTTTGAAATGGGACTAGCTTTGGGATGAGACATAATAGCAGAGGAAACCAGATTTTAGTTGGCAGGTGTCCATGATCCAGAAGAGCTGGTACCAATGAAGTCCCTGGAGCTGGTACAGGTGCTTTTGGCATTGTCCTGGGAGTGCTTTGTAGGTTGGTCTTGGCATTTGCAGTAGGAGTAACCTGAAAAAATATGCTTAAAACTGGAGGGTCAGGACCACTCCATGGTTTTCAGGTCTGTATGGGCTCCCTACTTTCCTGTTTCCCCGCATGCACTCGGCCACCCGAGAGCATCTTACTTAATAAAACAATGGGCATTTTGATTTGGTTTGATTTGACCTAATTGTATTTCTTGCACTGGCCGAGCTGTCTCTTTTCTTATTATTTTTACTTAACAGTATTTGCTGGCAATAAAATTTGAGCTTCCAAATGAAAATTGAAAGTTTGGATTGTTGATATTTGCCATTGTAAATTTAAGAATCTTCAATGCTTTAAGAATTTTCCATTCAGGTTGGTATTAGTATTTATTATTCTGAGTTTTTTGTTGTTGTTGTTGTTATATACTTAGTGGCTTCGTACTTAAAAGTCCCACAGAACTAGTGAACCATAATTTTCTGAGCAACAAATGCATGGCATTATAAAATCATACATGAATACCGTTTTAGAGTACAAGCAAGACCAACAGATTTTTATGTGTGATCATGAATTTTGGTAGATGCGGTCTCACATTCCACACTGCAAATGATGTTTAAGCAACAGTTTGATATGACATCAAAGAAGAATAACCCAATTTTCTGAAAGGAAACTCAAAGCCATTTAAATGTTTACCTCTCCCCACTGTCTCTGTGAAGCTGGGTCATCACTTGCTTCAGAAAGCCGGGCGTTGACAAGACCCACAAAACTGCTCTTGAGAGTGCCACAACTTTCCCTACTTTCTGTCTTCGAGAAAGAAGTATTTTTGGCTTTTGTTTTCATAAAAAGACATTACTTATGTGAACAAGTCATGGTATTTTGATTATATTTTAAGTTTCTATGTCCTATGTTTATATATTTAAGTATTTCACAGTTTTACCTTCAAGTACAGTAAAGATGGATACATGTACCTCACATAGCCACAAGTCAAAGTCCTTATTGACTTTTTAAATACACTTTATAATAAAAATCTTTGTTGGAGTTGGAAAGATATCTCAGCAGTTAGAAGCATTGATTGCTCTCCCAGATGTCCTGGGTTCAATTCCCAGCACCCACATGGGGGCTCACAACCATCTGTAACTCCAGTGTCAGGGTAACCTAACAACCTCTTCTGGTCCCTGCAGGCACAAATGTGCTATACAGACATACATGAAGGCAAGACGCTCACAGACATATTTTTTTAAAGTGTGTGTGTGTGTATGTGTGTGTGTGTGTGTAAACTTGTATTGTGAGTGAAGACTCACATGTGCCAACAACATATGAGCAAATCAGAGGACAATATCAGGTGTTGGTCCTTGTCATACACTCTCTTCGAAACAGGGTGTTTCTTGTTGTTTGTGGTGGTATATCCTGGCTAGTTGGCCCTTGAGCTTCTGGAGAGTCTCCACTCTCTGCCTTCCACCTTGCCATAGGAGTGTAGGCATTATAGGCTTGCTTCGCTGCATCTAGCTTTACGTGGGTTTTGGAGATCCAAACTCCTCACACTTAAATGCCAAGTTCTTTACACACTGAATGGTCATCCCAGTTCCTTTTTAAGTGTTTTATTTATATATCAATTATACACAACAATTGGGTTCAATATAAGATCTTCATGCATGTATATAATACATTTCTCAGTAACTTTTAAATGTCTAGATCAGTGGTTCTCAACCTGTGGGTCATGACCCCAAAGGGGTCAAGCAACCCTTTTGCAAGACTTGCCTAAGACCATCAGAAAACACAGACATTGACATTATGACTCATAACAGTAGCAAAATTACAGTTTTGGAGATCAGTCTTCTGTCCTATGTGAAGTTGTTGAAGATCTTTTCCCAATCTGTAGGCTGCCACCTTGTCTTGTTGACCATGTCCTTTGCTTTACAGAAGCTTCTCAGTTTTAGGAGGTCCCATTTATTAGTTGTTGCTCCAAGACCAAAAACACTGATGACAGCTTATGCTGGAGAGGATGTGGGGTAAGGGGAACACTCCTGCATTGCTGGTGGGAATGCAAACTGATGGAGCCACTTTGGAAATCAGTATGGCAATTTCTCAGAAAATTAGGAAACAATTTACCTCAAGACCCAGCAATACCGCTGTTGGGTATATACCCAAAAGATGCTCAATCATACCACAAGGACATGTGCTCAACTATGTTTATAGCAGCATTGTTTGTAATAGCCAGAACCTGGAAACAACCTAAATGTCCCTCGACTAAAGAATGGATAAAGTAAATATGGTACATTTCCACTGCTACTCAGTAGTAAAAACAATGGCATCTTGAAATTTGCATGCAAATGGTTGAAACTAGAAAAAAACATCCTGAGTGAGGTAACCCAGACCCAGAAAGACAAATATAATATGTACTCATTTAAAAGTAGCTTTTAGACATAAAGCAATAAAAAATCAGCCTACAGTCTGCAACTCCAAAGAACCTAGACAACAAAGAGGACCCTAGGAGAAACATATATGGATCTACATATATGTAGAGAAAAAGACAAGATCTCTTGAGTAAATTGGGAGTGTGGGGATCACAAAAGAGGGTAGGAGAGAAGAGAGGAGGAAAGGGGGATGTGAAGAAAAATGTATAGCTCAATAAAAACAATTAAAAAATTAGTTATGAAGTAGCAACAAAAATAATCTTGTGATTGGGGGTCACCACAAGATGAGGAACTGTATAAAAGGGTTACATCATTAGGAAGGTTGACAACAACTGGTCTAGAGAGTCACACTTTTTTTTTTTTTGAAGAGAAAGGAGCCAGTGTATGGGGTGAGAGGCTGCAAGGAGAGAATTAAGCCATGAAATGAGAAACATTCCCTCTGCCATAGTTTCCTAATTTTTGAATTGCAGCAGTGTGGCCATCACAAGGCAGCCCTTTGTGAGTCATGGGTACTAAGTAATTCTGTTTAATGTCTTTCCTGGGTTCTCTTTCAATGTGCCTTTTTTGTAAAAATCAGGCAAAGACTGAGTGTTTGACCCACAAAAACATGCTCCAGAAAATAAAACCCACAGCTACCTGTGTCCTCCTTTTGAAGGGAGCAGAATTGTCTCACCCAGCTGTGACTCCTCATCTTCTGTGGAACTGTCTGCTATGGGTTAATTGTTTTCTGGTGATGTCAGCCCTGGTTTTCCGGGAGGCAGTTGACCACATATCCAGGTACAGTCTGTCCTGTCTGCAGCAGCCAGGCAGCGATGTGGGAGGAGAATGCTCAACAGTCTCTCTCTGGGCAGATTGTTGCTGTGGCAATCAACTGGGGAGGTGGGGTCACTTATTATCATTTTTTTCCTGCTTTTTCTACTTCATAACAACTGCCAACCATGTTCTCATATCCTCCAGAATGGGAAGTTGCTCAGATTACCTAGTGCTCCAAATTCCTAACTAACCTCAGAAAAAGAAGAGAATATTCAGAGTTCAACAAAGTCTATGGATGATAAGACTCAGTGGATAAAGGCGATTGCTTTGCAAGCCTAGCAACTGGAATTTGATCCCTGGAACCCACATAAAGGTGAAAGGAGAGAAGAAATGAAGTTGTCCTCTCATCTGTAAACATGTGCTGGAGCATGTGCACCCACACACATACATACACACACAAACAATAATAAAAGTAATAATAATAATTTAATAAATAAGGCTAGAGTGATAATTTCACAGTTAAGAGCACTGAGCTCAGGTCCCAGCACACATATGGCAGCTTGAACCATCCATGATTCCAGATCCTAAATTTCAAGGGATTTGACACCTTCTTCTGACTTCCTCAGGCACACACACACACACACACACACACTCACACACACACACACTGTATACATAAATGTGCAAACAATGAATTCAAATAGATAAAATTAAGTAAAACAATTAAAACAAAAACAAAATATAAATTTGATTAGGAGAAGAATAGGACTGAGTCAGCAACCTGGACTGGAGTGGGCCTGGGACAGCCAAACTCCACAGGAGCAGGCCTGAGCCAGTGAACTAGACCAGAGTGGTCCTAAGGCAACACATTCCACAGGAATAGGATTGATCCAGTGCCTTAGGCCAGAGTAGGCCCGGGATGATGAACTCCAAGGGAACAGGAGCAGATCCAAATCAGGGACATTTGCGGAAGAAGGACTGAGCCAGAGACCTGGACCCGAGCAGACCCGAGACAGCAAATTCCACAGCAGCAGGTACAGGGGAGCAAATGTTGAGCAAGCTAGTGGGCTAGAGCCAGAGACCTTTGTGGGTCTGGGTGTGAATCTGGGTCCTCTGAGGGAGTAGGCCTGAACCCGGACCTCTGTGGGTCCAGGCATTGGTCTGGAACCTCCCAAGGGAGTAAACAGGAAACAGAAACCTCTGTGGGTCCTGGCACACCCAAGGCTGAGACCTCTAAGGGAGAAGATCAGAGCCAGAGACCTTTGCAGGACCAAACCCAAGCCAGGGACCTCCACAGGAGCAGATCCAGACCAGGGACATTTACAGAAAGAGGTCTGAGCAGGTAATATGGATCAGAGCAGGCCTGAGACAGCAAACTCCATGGGAGGAGAGCAAACCCCAGGAGTGTAGAGTGACCTCCAGGAACACAGAGTGACCAATGAGAACCGTGGCACTGATTGTACCACAAGGAACAATCATCTGAGCCTTGGATCCACTGGCACCTAGAAGATTAAATACCAGAGTTACAGACAGCCCTAACCACACCGATTAGATGAAAAGATGAGTAGACAAGGTAAGAACACATGCAACACCACAAAGAGCAACACGACACTAGATCTAGAGACCCTACAACAGCAAGACTTGAACAACCAAATACAGATGAAGCAGAAGAAAATGACCTAAAAAATAACTTCATGGGGAATGTTAGAAAGTCTTAAAGATGAAATGAGAAATTCCCTCAAAGAAATGAAGGAAAAGACAAAAAATTAGAAGACATCAGCAAATCCCTTAAAGAAAACCAAGAAAAAGCAAACATATGAAAGAAACTATTCAAGACTTGAAAACTTAAATAGAAACAATAAAGAAAATACAAGCAGAGGGAATTATAGAAACAGAAATCATGAGAGAATGATCAGGAACCACAAATGCAAACATAAACAGCAGAATACAAGAGATGGAAGAGAGAATCTCAAGTGCTGAAGATACAATAGAGGAAATAGACTCATCAGTCAAAGAAAACATTAAGTCTAACAAAAGCTTAACACAAAATATCCAGGAAATATGGGACACCATGAAAAAAATAAAACCTAAGAATAATAGGTATAGAAGAAGGAAAAGAAGTACAACTCAAAAGCACAGAAAATATATTTAACAAAATCATAGAAGAAAACTTTCCCAACCTAAAGAAAGATATGCCTATGAAGATACAAGAAGCTTACAGAACACCAAACAGACTGAAAAAAAGTCCCCTTGCCACATAATAATCAAAACACTAAACATACAGAATAAAAAAAGAATATTAAGAGCTGCAAAGAAAAAAGGCCAAGTAACATATAAAGGTAGACTTATCAGAATTACACCTTACCTTTCCCAGTAAGCCACGACCTTGACCTTGTGGTGCTACACAGATTATTAGAAATGGGTTAGATCAAGATGTGAGAGTTGGCCAATAAAAGGCTAGAAATAATGGGCCAGGCAGTGTTTAAATGAATACAGTTTCTGTGTAATTATTTCGGGGCTAAGCTGGCTGGACAGTGGGATGCAACCCTCCGCTCATCCTTACAACACAAATGGATCAAAGACCTCAACATAAAGTCAGCCACACTGAACCTTGTAGAAGAGAAAGTGGGAAGTACACTTGAACGCAATGGCACAGGAGACCACTTCCTAAATATAACCCCAGCAGCACAGACACTGAGAGAAACAATAAATGGGACCTCCTGAAACAGAAAAGCTTCTGTAAAGCAAAGGACATGGTCAACAAGACAAAATGGCAGCTGACAGAATGGGAAAAGTTCTTCACCAACCCTACATCAGACAGAGGTCTGATCTCCAAAATCTACAAAGAACTCAAGAAATTGGTTATCAAAAGAACAAATAATCCAATAAAAAAAATGGGGTATAGACCTAAACAGAGAACTCTCAACAGAGGAGTCTAAAATGGCTGAAAGACACTTAAGGAAATGCTCAGCATCCTTTGTCATCAGAGAAATGCAAATCAAAACAACTCTGAGATTCCATCTTACACCTTTAAGAATGACCAAAATCAAAAACACTAATGACAACTTATGCTGGAGAAGTTGTGGGGTAAAGGGAACCCTCCTCTATTCCTGGTAGAGTGCAAGCTGCTACAGCCCCTTTGGATATCAGTTTGGCAATTTCTCAGAAAATTAGGAAACAACCTTCCTCAAGACCCAGCAATACCACTTTTGAGTATATATCAAAAGAATGCTCAACCATGCCACAAGGATATGTGCTCAACAATGTTCATAGCAGCTTTGTCATAGCCAGAACCTGGAAACAACGTAAATGTCCTCGACTGAAGAATGGATAAGAAAAATGTGGTACATTTACACAATGGAATACTGCACAGCAGAAAAAATAACGACATTTTGGAATTTGCAGGCAAATGGATGGAACTAGAAAAAATTATATTGAGTGAAGTAACTCAGACCCAGAAAAAATTATTATATGTACTCACTCAAAAGAGGTTTTTAAACATAACACAAAGGAAACCAGCCTACTAATCACAATCCCAGAGAACCTAGACAACAATGAAGACACTAAAAGAGACATATGTGGATCTAATCTACATGGGAAGTAGAAAAAGACAAGATCTCCTGAATAAATTGGGAGCATGGGGACTTTGGGAGGGGTTAAAGGGGGTGAGTGACAGGGAGGGGAGCAGAGAAAAATGTAGAGCTCAATAAAAATCAATAAAAAAAGTTTATTAGGAGTAGCTTTTCAATCTTATTTATTAATTTCCCTTGCTAAAGGAAGCACATGGTTTAACGAAAAATTTAAAAGTGCATATATATATTATATATATATAATTACATTTTCTTTGTGGGCAGAGGTTTTTTTTTTGTTTGGGAGGTTTTGTTTTTGTTTTGTTTGTTCGGGTTTTAGTGTTGGTGGTGGTGTTGTTTATGGTGGTGGTGGTTGTGGTGGTAGTGTGTGTGCATGCACAGTAGCACACATGTGGAGATCGGAGATCATCTGTGGGATTGTTTTCTCTTTCCACCATGTTGTTCCTGGTGATTTGAACTCTGAGCCATCTTCAGATTACCTTTGTTAGCTATTCTGTTATATGGGAATGATGAGTAACTGATACAGAAAATCAGTATCAGTAAGGGTGGTATCTTCTCATTATTCCTAAATAAACGAATTTTATTCTATTCTGTTTTATGTTCAGCCCTTCTCTGTCAATACAGAAAGAAAACAATTTACCCTGGAGGTTCCGAGGTAGCACCGCATTCCTGTACCACCAAACACTTGAGTATGGAGGAAAGGAGAGTGGCTTCTGACCGCTAATGGAGTGGTTGACCACACAGCGGCCTCTAAGATGCCCGTCACCTTGTTTCTTCCATTACACCCCTGGGTCCCCATAGCCACCCCATGTCCAGATCCTGTTGTCCTGGTGTTCATTTTATGGTTTGTGGAAGAAGTTTGTTACCTCTTTTTTCTTCTCCCATGGTGCACACCTTCCTTTGTTATTCTTCCCACACATTTAAGGTCTAGGCCTCGTGCGACCCTTTGAGGAGGAAGTCAACCATCTGGCAGATAGGCAGATAGACAACAAAAGCAAAGCTGTCATCTACTTGAATGGAGAAAGCATTTGCATTGGTATTATAAATACTAGTGTGGAGAAGGGAGAGAAATTCCAGGAGGGAACAATTAACAGCCAAGCGGTGGTCTGGCATATTCTCTCCTCAGTAACTCCTCCTAAGCAGACAATCTTCCCATGCAGTCCTGGCCCTGGGCCTGCCTGGTCAGTAAGAGAACAAAGGGCCGATTCTGTATTTCTCTCTCAAATGGGATTTGGTTGGAGTCCTCTTACTTAGGGAGGTCATTTCCTTAGCCTCCACTCCCACCCCAGACAGTAAGGAGCTGGGGTCCTTCTTGACTCTATCACCTCCTGGAGATTCTCCCACCTTCTGCTCTGGCTCCAGAGCTCAGGTAAGTGCTTGCTGAAACCCTCCAAGGGTACTGTGACCAAAGTAGAACAGAGGAATTCCTCACTGGGTCCTGCAAAGCTCTCCTTTGTTTTCATGCCCACCTCCCCATCGTTCACTAGCCGGCAATCAGACGGCCTACCTTTCTTTCTCTCAGTTCCACCCTGCCCTCCTCTTCCCTATGCCACTTCCAAGAGACTTTCTGCAGAAGAATTGTCCTTGACCATGACCCACCACTACCTCCATCCTCTCCATCACTGCCTTTATTTCCTTTGTAGCATGTGCCAAAAAATATGTGGTGACCTCATTTGGGCTTACCTGTTCATTTCCTTGATAACTCAGTCACAGTCAGGGCCTGAACTTGATG